AATATTTGATCCCAAGCTTAAATTGGTTGGGATCACCAATTTTTTTTTAAATTTCCTTTCAGTGAGAGAAGGAAAAGAAGGGATAAGAGGGCATTACTGTTATGATTGGCTCTGGGTTACATGGTTCTGGTTTATTTTGCTGAGTGCAAAAGAGAGTGGAAAACTACTTAAAGCTCAACAAAATAACATTAACAAAGATCATTTTCTCTCTTAGGGATTTGTCTGCATCCAATTTTTATGAGTTGAGGGAAAAAAAAAAAAAAAAAAGGTGATATTTAAGCGCATAGAGCCTGAATTGCTGAAGATAGAGGCAAGTGATAATGCAGCAGCTGCAGATGCTATTGCATTCAGCTCTTCATCCAGAAGCTGCTGCTCCCACTGCATCCATGAGCTTGTCTCAATCACATCAGGAAGCCTGGCCCAGCAGCACTGCTGGAAGCAAGGAGATCAGCCACAAGGGTGCTGTGCCTGGGGATGTGTCATCCCGTGTTCTCCTGACAGCAACTGGCAGGACAGCAGGCAGATGGAGAAGATCACATCAACCTCTCATTGCTAAATCTGCAATAGATTATTGGTCCAAATCCTTTCCTCCCAAAATCCAAATAACAACACAAAAAGTTCCACTTCGCTGAGAATAGGTTCAAACACAATAATATCCCTCACTTCTGCTAAGGCCACAGTTTCACTTGAAGAGAAACTAACAATATTTCAAAGCAGAGTGAAAATTATGAAAAAAAATCCTCAATAAATATTCTATGCTAATTAAAAAAAAGAAATACTTAATTTGTCTTTGTCAGATAATTACACTTATGTCAAACTTCACTTGACAAAAAGCACATCAATTTTGCTACTTTAAGTAACATATGTAGACATTCATTTGAAAGAACTGAAAACGCAGTTACTGGGTAACCCTAGTAAGAAACAACTGCAAGTGCAGTCCTCTAAGCACTTCTTCCTGTGGCAGTGCCAGTTTGATTAGATCTTTTTAATCTCTATATTATCCCCAGTTGTGCCACACATTAATTAAAAAAAGATTAATTTGCACACATTCACAGTTCAACAGCACAAATAAAGGTATCATTGTGGGCCACAAGAATTCCCCTGTGCCATCAGCAAAGGAGAAAGGGAAGATAAAATAAACAGCACTGGTGGAAGTGTTCACAAGCACCTGACATGACATGCAGCAGACCAATGCACAAGCCAACAGCAACACTTGAGGCAGCCTTCCTCAGGCTAGAGTGAATAAAATGTGGTGAAGGACATGGAGTCAGGCACTGCACTGCAAGGTCTGCAAGGGAGGTTGGGGTGGCAGTGGTTGTTTTAGGCTCAGAGGGTGTTAGGAATGGGCAGGGAGTTGTTTTGTTTGCTTTGATATTAAGCCTACTAAAGTCTTTTGAAAAAAAGCACCAAAAGTTACCATGCATCCTTTCATGAGTTCTAACAAAGCAGCAGCATATTTCAAATAGCTCTTGTAGTAGTAATGGTAGCTCAGTCCTTTCTTTCCTTTCTCCATGACACTGATCTTGGGTTCCTGTCCACTCACCCATCTGCTGTCACCTTCTGGTTGTGAGGAACCAGCTATTTGTTAACCTGAACAATGAACAGATGAGGATTTTAAAGAAAGACAGGAAAGATTCTGAAAGGATCTTTGACTTATATTAACCCGGTTACAGTGTGCTGCAGCAGTGAAAACAAATGGTGGGGATCAGGAAGCAACAGCACAGGGACTGCTTGAGGAAAAGGACTGCCAAGAAAGAGTTCCTCAGTATCACAGCCTCCAAGAGCATACTTTAAGCTAATTAAGTTAACAGGAAATATTGAGAAATAGAGTACTTGAGGGGAGAGGAGGAACGTTGCTAGGAAGAGGATAAACAGATCATCAGCACCTACAGAACAGAGAACACCATAAATAGTAAGATCTGTAAATTCTTCAGAGATCTGACTGACAAGCAAATGTGCTGACCCAAATCAAATTAGAAATTACATATACAGAAAGCCACCTCCTCTATCATGCAGCCACCATAGGAAATGAAAATAGGAAATTAACTCAGTAGTTACATACAGGATGAGTGAACTCTACTGGACTTCACATTTGAGCAAATGAAAAAAGCACATAAATTCCAAGGAATACCATAGTAAAACCCAATGTTTAACAAGAACAACTCTCCTTGCATTTGTTTTAAATGAACTGAACTCCAGACTCAGCAGTCTAAATTAAATATTTAAACCCTTACATCTTTCTTTGCACCCATGATATGAAACTAAGCACTAAAGTAAGCTTCTTAGGTACATGTAAAATTTGAACTGTTGAAAAGGTGATGATCTTTGCGACTTTTAAAGACAACCTCTAAATAATATTTTCACAGTGCATAAACTTCCAATGTCAGGAAATCCTCAATAGCATAAAGAATAATAGAATTTACTTTTTAAGATCTCATTTTGTGAAACAAGTAATACAAGTTTTCAGCACAAGTTATTCAGAGAATTATAACCGTCTCAGAAAAGAGCTTTTAAAGAAACTGGTTTGACTGCTTCAATTACAGGAGAATAACAATTCATCCATCACTACAACAATTATTTCAATACTGTAATTACAATGCTAGAATCCAAGTACCTGATATTTTTCAGAAGAGATAGCACACAGAGCAAATAGGCAGAATTTACGTCTGAAGAGAGGTGAGTGGTATCAAGTAGTACCTACCCAATGATGACATGACCTGACGAATTGTCACTAGGTAAGATGTTATTTCCAGAAGAGAATGAGAGCTCACTCTCTTCTGACAAAGTAACTTAATTTTGGGTAAGAGGGATAAGGAAAAGGAAGTTGCATTTCCCTACGAATTTTATAATGAACTGGCTGGTTATGGAAGTTATCACATCTACTGGCAAAGTAGAAAACAGGAAAATGGCTCATATTAAAACAGGAAAAAGGGTCTGGGCATCAGAGCATGAACCTAGCTTTGAATTTAAATATGTCCAAATACACGGCACTGGAGAATTAAAAAGAACAGAACTTCAAAGAGCTATAAATATGTAAGGAAATTATGTATCTCTCCCAGAGGCCTTACCCACAAGGTATGTACAACAGCACTGTGGTAGCTGCAGTGCAGAAGTAACGCACAACATACAGAAAACAGGTGCATGAATGGTACGACCACTGCCATTCCTGCTGAATCAGTTATGCAGAATCTATCCTAGAGAGGAAAATCAGCCTAGGATTCCTATGGGCCCCTTCCAGCCCAGAGTATCATATGATTTTAACTGAGATTAACAGGGCTCTTCTCAGGAATATGTTACAACTTAAATTATCAAGACTTTTACACTACGCTGATGATTCTAGGAAGAGACTTACTGTTATTATCTTTAAGTTGTAATACATTCTTTTCAGCTTTAATCACTGACAAAAAAAAAATAAAAAAATCCATACTCGTGGAGGAAAAAAAACAAGTAGAATTTACATTACTTACATGATTTATTCGCTTTTGACCATAGTTTCCAGCTAAGTCAGTCAATTCAAATGCCACTGAGACTCTCTCCTACTTCATTCAACTTCTGTTCCTCTACATAAGCCTCAGAGACATACTAATACAATCAAACTACTTGCATTCAGTGACAGCATCTGAAATTTCCTTCTCTAGTGGATTTCCAAAGCAGAAAGGCATGCTCTGATTTAGGACGTTAGTTTGAGCTGTGTAACACTGGACTTCACATATTACTGAAGTTCATTAAAAACATTTTTGATAGCTTTTATAGCATATAGTGACTTGTGTAGCTCCATTAACCTACCGAGGCTTAAAATTATTGTCCTCATTGTCCTGATCACTAAAGGATAATAAAGATGCCATAGCACATTATTTTAAGAAGTTACTATTAAGCAGACAAAGAAATAATTGTTTTGGAACAGAGTTTCAAATGTACCTACACTCATGATAACTTTCAAGAGAGGTGCATATTTTAAAACTAAAAATCTTATTCAATTCCATAGTAATCTCCCACACTTTGCAAAGATCAGTAGCATGGCTTCAAGTATGCCCACAGAAAACCAACAGCTCATCCAAGGCAAAAACTACAGGCAAAGACAGCAGATGATAGAAGATGCTTGTGAAAAGCTAACATGCGATAAGGAGAAATGGAAGCAAATGGATTAGTAGACAGCAGGGAGAAAAGCCACATAACTTCATTCACTACTCAAAACAGAAGTCAGGATTCTGTTGGTATTAGATACTCACACATACCTAGTAGGTCCATATTAACTATTATCATTCAGTGGAACAACTACTTCATTAAGGCCAATTTCTCTTATGCCAGTACTGAAGTCCCTTTTGCGTTATTTCATACTTCAACCATCGCGCCCTGCCATCATTCTTCATTCTACAGAAAGAAAATCTGAAACAACTTCAAAACAGCCTTTTTCTTTATTTTTTACTTCATAGGACATTATTTATAGATGCTGACAAAGAAGAGTGGCCTGAGAGATGTTAAAAAAAAATTCTTATACAACGGGTAGAAAACAGAAGTCACTTCTCTAATGCAAGTAAAATAGAAGCAGCATAATTAAGCAAGGATGGTAGTATGACTATTATTCTAGAAATAGGAAGCATAGAGTAGCTTGGTATTTGCCTTATTAAACATCAGCTAGACGTGCCAGATTTGATACATGCAATTTAAACCTAGAATGAGTCACTGTTGTATGCTTGGATGCTGTAAGTTTAAATTTTTCCAAGTCAATTAAAGCTCAGAATTCTAAGTGACTGAACTAAGAATGTAATTCAAGAATTGATCTCTTCATATAAATAGTCTTAACTGTTAAAGGGGAGACAGTGGGTGGAATGAGGTGGCAGAGGGAAGCACAAACTCCAGCTACCGTTTCTGGAAATACAGCTGAGTCACAAGCAAGAACAAGAAAAATTGTTCTCTGGAAGAATACAGGTCTTTTTTAAACTGAATTCACCAAATACAAAGATAAATAAAGAAAAAAATAGGAATGATAATTATCTTACCTATGCAGAGAGTACAGCAGATAACTTATCAAGAATAGAAGGAAATCTAAGTAACTTAAGAACTTAAGCTGTACTTGCGCAACACAAAGTAAAGCAAAGCAACAAGCATGGGATTCTTCTGAATTTTTAAACAGAAAAACTGTTGTCATTTCCTACCCTAGAAACAGCTCTGTGTCCAGACTCTACCATTAATAGAAACTTTCCATTTGGAAAAAAATAGTCCTTATTATTATTATTTTTAAAAGATAAGCTTCAGCTGCAGCTAGACAAACAGCAGCCAGTAAGAGTTCAGCTGTGAAGTGAATCGCTTTATTACTGAGCCATTGTCTAGACTACGCCATACATTTCTATTAGACACAAGAATGCAAGAAAGGATGGGTTCCACATCTGTCACGAACACTGACTTTAAGACTAGAGCACAGAATACATGAATAAACACTGTCTTTATCAAAAAGAATGAGAGGTGGTGCCTGGTTGCTGAGCACAGCTGCAGTGTTGCACAGAACAGCTGGCTGGCTTCACAAGCCACAGCCTTAGTATGCCACACAAATTCAACTTAGATTAGAAACAGCAGAGTTCAGGGGTTAAGAGACAAGTTTACATGAGACAACTACTCAGAGCATTACTGGAATTTGCTAGTGAACTGTCACTAAGGGGAAGAACTTAGAGAGTTTCAGAGCAGTAACACATGCAAGTTTTCAAGCATTCTGTTTTGTAACACATTGTCCTGACAGTAAGCAGGCTGGGGAATAAGAGACCCAACACCTAATCAAATGCAAGTTTGAAAGTAGGTATGGTTGGTTTCTAATTTGATCTGTGCGGCCCACTGTTAAACTCACGTTACACACTCTTGAAACTAGGTGCTACATGACTCACCACAAAAATAACAGTGACACGAATGCAAATCTCTACAATCCCAGTGTTCATGCTCCTCTCAAAGTGCCCATAATGTGTGGAAAACCAATGAGTACTTCTGATCTCTCTCCCCTCCCCTTGACACTGGCTGCAAATGAAGGAATCTGTACTTCACTGTCAGAAGAAACAGCCCACAACCTCATGTGGAACATGGGTACTTCAGGTTTAACATCACAATATTTTAATGCACTGGCACTCCACAATTTTCCATAAGCAAAATTTTGTTGTACCATGTACGTGTCCCTGAGCTTATCTACACATGAGAAGTCTACAGGCCATTTTTGGAAAGAAAGTTAAGTTTTGCAGTCCCTATCTACTGTTCAATTTTTCAAACTCACTAAAGCATAGGTTACAGAAAAATACAGAAATATGAGCACTCAAAAGCTTACATCAGCAATGCTAACTCCTACAGGCTCCTACAGCCTTTGAAGAGCATGTGGATAACCACCACCCCTCCAGCCAAAAGCCTCCTGGGAGAAGTGAGCATCGCTGAACCTGGAGCACATCCTGCTGCAAAGAGCAGGCATCACTGCCAACACCAGAGCAACACTTCTCCCACTGAAAGCCCTCACTGATTCTCACAGGGCTTAGGGGAACGTCCTTTATAGATTCTCTTCCTACAGATACACTTTCAGACCCTCCAGCACTTGCATTTGACAGACAGAATGAAGAGGAATTGACTGCACTGTTTAAAATTGGCCTTATGACATGGATGCCACTGAAAGTTATTTGGACACCACTCATGCAGATATATCATAAGAACCCCATGTTTCAGACTTCCTTATTCGTTAGCATAAAGTGGGTAATTAGCATCATTAACATTCTTCCCAGCTGGAAATAATGTGCTTCTACACTGCAGCTAAAATGGCACGCTGTTCAGTGAGGCCTTTTTTTGCCAGACATTCAATAGAAATTTAAAATTTCCCATTTCTTCTTCTTTAATAAAGATTACTACATAAAGTATTCCTTGAAGTCTTAAGGAAATTAAAATATCATTCCAAAGAACAAAACCTGCAACAAGTATAAAGCAGCAATAACTATTTTGGCCTTTGAGCATGACAATTTCACACCCAATGCTAGGAATAAGACAAAAACAATTTTAACTATTAAAAGAACATAGCTGTATGAAATCAAAACCACAAATCCCTTTATACAGAAGACATATGGTGGAAATTAATAGCAAGTGACAAAAGCTTTTTCCCCCCTTATGAAAGTTTATGCATGCTGTGATGTGTGTGCCTATTTTTATGAAAAGCCAAGTTCTCTTTATATAATTAGAACAGCTCTTGAGGCAGGAAGAATATAATTGGCAATAATGACTTAGAACTGAGAAAATCTCACTGGAGTTATCACTACGTCACAGCCTAAGCACATTGCATAAGAATGGTCTTGTAAAACAAGAGACAAAAGCAAGCTGGGGAGGAGCAGCATTCAGCACAGACATTTTTCCTACTCCTTGGCTGTGAAGATGAATAGTTGGAAAGCTGACAAGTTTTCATAGACATGACTGAGCTCAGTCCTTGACTCCAAATTAAACTGGACATAAGGCTTTGGCTGGCCAAGATCACTAAACACAAACAAAAATCAAAAGTAACCTTCATCATTGATGTTACTGTAAGATAAAGTAAATAGGAACCAACGCTTCTTTATTGTTTGTCACTAATCTGTCTTTACTGTGGGCTAATAAAAACTTGGGGAAAAAAAAAAAAATCACCTTAGTCTTGTTCCAGTCTGCATTATAAGAGTAGGAAAATTTATGTCGTCCAAGTTGAAAATAACTGAGTTTTATTTCTACCTATACATATGATAGATCATGACTTACATACGTAAGCATACACTGCCATACTTTGTGTATTTTATCTGAATTCATACTTGCAACTCTTGCTAGTGCCAAGTTAGAACACACATGGTCTACATACATCTTTATCAGTATGCAGAATGAACAATTAACAAGGATCCATGAAAGTAGAAAGATAGGGCTAGACTGAGGAGCTCCATATAAATCTCCCTGCCCTCAAAAATATTAAGGTCAGAAAATGATGCTCTTCTATCAACAGAGGCGCCACCACAGTGACTCAAACCCTATCCCCAGAAAGCAAAACTCCAGGCTAGGAGGAGTGAAGGAATGCAGGAACCTTTCCTCCCTCAGATGCCTCATCTAGAACTCTAAGCTGTTGCCACACATCTCAGTAACTGAAGCTACAGACTGAACTGTGTTTTAGCATTCACTTGTGTCAGACAACAAAAAAAGCTTTGAAGTACTTTGGACCGTGCTAAAGTATTTCCTGATACTTGAAACTATGCTGATTGAACAAAGCAAGTCCTCTAGCAACCCCCAGCAAGCAGCTTCCTAACACAGCTATCCTACTTACAATCAAGGACAGAAAACTTCACTGCAGCTGCATTTAAAGAATCAAAATTAAAAATAATAATAAAATATGGTTCCCAGCTCATCCCATCTCCAAAGAATTCAAAAAATCTGGGTCTGCTTACATCATCAGGGTTTCAAAACTCTCCTTTCCCACAGCATTCCATCTATTAGAAAATAACAGCTTAGTAATGTAAAAAATATCTACTGCCTGCTTAACATTAACTGACAGAAAAAGAAAAGCTCAAAATAATTGCTCTAGGCTTAGGTTTCAGTCTTGGAAAAAATTAAGTGGATGAGTAGTCCTGTATCCAGAAGCTACCTGCACTGATTTTGTTACATGCAGATCAACACGTTTCACCTGGGTACACCTTATATACATAGAAGCAGATTCTTCAAATATACTCTAATCCAGGGCTACTGACTGTGTTATACAGTCAGTGGGTGAGCTACTCAGAAAGCTCACAGGAAAAGCCTACGCTAACAGTTCTACAAATGCAGAATCTTAGAATCAGTAAGAAGAAATTAAGGTATGGGGAAATGGGGATTTATAACACATTAAAAGGGACATGCTAGTAAAACAACAGAATTAAAAACAACTGCTATATTTGGACCAATTATAACAATGGGGAAAAGTTATGGAAATTTGGGACGTTGGAACGTTGAAGAAATGCTGGAAAAAATATATTTTTCCAATGCTGGGGAAAAAAAAAAAAGTGGAAGAAATAGTGAAAAGCACAGACAGATCTGTAGATCACATTAATGGATCCATTTCTATCAAGTATTAGTATTCTGCTTCACAAGACAGCTTGTAAAGTATGTGGTCTGTATTCCATGTTCATTTGGCTTTTGTTGCCAGCATCTCAGTTCTGCAATACTGTACAGTTGCTAAGTTCTCCACAACTCACACCACTATGTGCACAAGGAAGCTTTGGTGAGATTTTGACCTTACTGCCTTCAGACTCATCAAAGTTTAGCAAAGTGGTTTAAGTTTCAGTTTATAGAAATGAAAAGCCAATGTCTTTGTTTATGGGACTAAAATAGTCATGGAAGACAGCAAAGATACTAGAAATGATTGCTATCATATACACCTATAGCAAATCATAAGCTATAATTGCATTGGCAAGTAATTGGTCACTTAACGAGTGACCAAAGTTTAGTTAATCACTGGTCACTGATGTCCTCTGCAGTGCCAGAGACTGGATCACGACAGATGGCTCTCCCCCATCTTGAAACACAAGACTATCATATTCTTCAGCATGAACACTGTCCTTCCAACACTTTAATCCTCACCAGCTTCTACATGCACACTGCAAATGCATGAAAGGTCTTATGAGATTAGACTCTATTTCCAGCAAAATAGTGTAGTCATTCCAAGTCATCCCCTCAGCCTGTTTTTACATTTAAGCTTTCATACTCATAGCAATTTCATTTAACTAAACTAGACAATATATCCTATGTATCAGCAAAAAAACTCCCCAGAGTTCCAACTATCAGAAAACAAAACAAAACAAAAACAAACAAACAAGAGTAGAAAAACATGTGCCACACAAGAGTGATGAGAAAGTGTGCCGAGTGTGGACTTGTATTAATCTAACTAGGTTATATGGAACAGTTCAGAAGGCGTTACAGTGTTTCCAGCTGGGACAGTAAGAAAAAGGAGAGGTGGGTAACACCAGTGAGCTGGTACCACGTTCACTTCTGTTCCCTCTGTCAAGGTAGGGCATCTCTTTGATGTAGGCGACAGTATCTCTTCCCAGCTCATTTACACTCTTTCAAGTGCTCCTATTTCCCCTCAGGAGTCTCTTATGAAATAGACCAATCTCACTGAGCCAAACTGCAATACAGACTACACTTCCTTGCT